TTTTTTTTTCTTTTTTTCCCCTGTATTTTAGGGAAGGGTCTACAGGATGTTCAGGGTCTTACTACTAAATTGCACTTGTAGTGATTCTCCTGTTTACAGCCTCCCAAGAGATGGGGTTACATGCGTGCAACACCACGCCCAGTCTCAATTGCCACCTCAGCAGGCCAGCACAGCAAGTAGGAATCAAACCTCCAGCCCTTGCGCCTACTTGCAGGCACTTTAATCAGCTGAGCTATTTAGCTGGCCCTCATAATTATAAAGAATGGGATTTTTCAGGCTGAGGCAGGAGACATTAAGGGTTGGAGACCAGTCTGGGCTACTGTGTTAGTTGATACATTGTGTCAACTTGGCTGAATCAGCTCAGCATTCTCAGCATGGGGGCCTAGCCGGCCCAGGAATTGAGAAAGGCTTCCTGCCCCCCTGCCTGACTTCCTGCCTGCCCAGCCCTGCTCTGCTTCCGTGGAGAAGTCCCAGTCTTCGGAGATTGATCTTTGTAGCAGCACCACTTCGGAGGAGATCCAGTCTTCACTGTGGCGCTCTGGTCTTCCCAGTTAGCACAGAAGGGAGAGAGAGGCTTGATGGAGGCCGCAGCTGCTGCTCCTCTGCTCTTCATTGTTTGCTGCCACATGAACTGCTGCTGAGCACCTTGGAGCCAGCGGAATATGGACTGAACCCTCCAATAACTGTGAGCTAATAAATAAACCTTTCCTTCCTTCATTTTGAGTGCCAGGTATTTGTCCCAGCAACGAGTAAAAAGTAACTAAGACAGGGGCTGGAGAGATGGCTCAGTGGTCTAAAGCACCTACTTAGAACAAGCTTGGCAAGGCATCGGGGACCGCGGTTCAATCCCCCAGCACCACATGCCAGCCAGCCTCGCCCCCTGGTGGGCTGAGCTGGCCACACACACACACACCCCTCTCTCTCTCTCTCTCTCTCTCTCTCTCTCTCTCTCTCTCTCTCTCTCTCAAATAAATAAATAAAAAAAAAAAAAAAGAAAAAAAAAAAAGGCCCCCGGCACTTTTAAAAAAAAAAAAAAAAAAAAAAAAAAAAAAGTAACTAAGACAGCTACAAAGTGAGTTCAAGGCCAGCCTGAACTACATAGAGAGACCTTGTCTCAAAATGACAAAAAAAAAAAAAAAAAAAAAAAAAAAAACCAAACCCCCCAAAAACGGTGGTGGGTGCAGATTTTCCTGGCAGGACTGTTCTTCTCAAACCTGCAAATATCTTCAGTCAAGGGGCACAGTGGTCAAACATCTGCCTATATTTTCTTTAAGAAAACCACCTAATCAGTCGCCCCAGGATTCAGAGTTGAAAGTGAGTTAGCCTAATTAGTATATCCTGACAATAGTTACCTTCTTAATGCTGACCTAATCCCTTTCTTTTGTTGGCAAAGTGAAGTCATAGCAGTGAAAATTAATATTCAAGGGCAGCTCCTTTTCTGAAAGTCTCTTGAGTGGGAATGAAAGAAGGGAATCTGTCAAACCAAAGCTCCTTCCTTCCAAAGAATATACTAGCAATCTATTCAGATTCTCCTTCCTCTAACTAATTAGGTGCCTACTCCTCTGTCTACTGTATAAGAAATCTGCACATCTAGGCAAATGCTCTATCACTGACATACCTCCAGCACTTTTTTAGACTGGTTTTACTAAATTGCCTAAGCTGGTTTAAACCTGCAACCCTCTGGCCTCAGCCTCCCAATAATAGGTACGCACCACTATGGCTAATCAAGTTTTGAACTTGGAAGATTTTTAAGCAGATGTGACAGTACAGAACTCACCAATGACTTGTCAATGATGCAGAACATGTAGGCATCATGGAGGAGAATGTGCATTGGTCTCTTGGGATGAAAACTGATGTGTGTGATGGGAGTATCCCTTTGGAGCCAAAGATGGTGAAACCCCTGCTTCTGGACATTCCGGCTCCATTCTGTATACTGCTTGTCTGGGATGCTGTACTCAAATACCTAAGGAAAGACATGACATGGACAAAATGAAGGGCAGTGCTTGTAAAGTCCAGAAGGGTCTTCCTTCTTGGGTTTTTTACATCTGATCCTTAACCAGAAGATATCTAAACAAACCTTGACTATATCATATTCAGCTTTATGTTTTACTTCTTTTAAAAGCAAATTAAGTAAATAAATTCAAAAGTTATATAATGTAACAGTAAGGGAGAAGTTATCCTGCAATCTTGATGCCCTTCTTCCTCAAGATAAGAGCAACCTTCAATTTCCTTTTTTTTTTTTGGCAGAACTGGGGATTGAACTCAGGTCCTTGTGCTTGCCAGGGAAGTGCTTATTCTACTGAGCCATGTCCCTGGCCCCAACCTTCAATTTCTTATTTACATCTTTTTGAGGTATTTTACACCCGTAATATATACTTTCCTGCTTTTTGGTTGTTGTTTTATAGGGTCTCAGTATGTAAGGTTGTCTCTGACTTCTGATCTTCCTGCCCCAGTCAAGAAGATCTGACACTACAGGTATGCATCACCATGGCCAATCTGCATGCTATTTTGTATCAGTCTTTTTCGTGTAGCCTTGTATCAGTATAGATACAGATTAGTCATGCCCCTCCTTTTCCATTTGTTTCACAAAAATCTTAGGCATTCTTAAGAGACATAATAGTTCTATTTATGTAAAACTAAACTACAGTGTAGGGGCCAGGGAGATAGCTCAGTAGAATAAGTGCTTGCCTGGCAAGCACAAGATCCTGAGTTCAATTCCCGGTACCACCCCCCCCCCAAAAAAAAAGTAAACTACAGTGTAATTCAGGACATGTATACAGTGAGTAGTGATCAAATAAAGCAATTAGCATTTGCAGTCCTCAAACTTTATTATTTCTGTGTATTGGGAACTTCCAAACTCTTCTCTAATTGTTTTTGAAATACATAATTATCAACCATACCCCCTTTGAAGAACATTTAACAATCTATTCATTTTGGGGCTGGTGAGATGGCTCAGTGGTCTAAAGCACCTACTTAGAATAAGCTTAGCAAAGCACAGGACCCACGGTTCAATACCCCAGCACCAC